GCTACACCTTAGCAGGGTAAGGTTACGTTAGAAATTATCTTCCTTGCATAATCAATTAAGCATTACTTCCTGAGGGAATTTTCTTCTCAGACGAAAGACTCAAGTGACATATTGGTCACAAATATCTACACAAAACAGGATTTCCCTGGAAATAGTACTGTCAACAGCAAAACAAACCTCCACGGTAGCTTTAACACGTGTCCGGATGTGTTTACAACCAGGTAGATTAGCGTGACGGCTACATGTTCTGTAGATTTGACCACCATATGCTGGAACCTCCACTCTGGCCCGGTCAGTAGGAGACGTAGTGGGCGGACCTCGACACCTACTCACAACTGTGTCCGTGATACACACAACAAAGTGACCGCTCCTGGACAAGACACTGACATTTATGTTAAGGCCACTCAAAACAGTCTAGTCCTTCGCTTTATTTAGTCAACACAACTTTTCCTCGTCACTTTAAACACCAGACTTGGGGTTGATAAATTTGTCCACCTTTACCAAGTGTTAATCTGCTTGTCCAACAAGGTAACATATTACACACGCCTCATCAGTCCATAATATATCCCACTCACATGTTCTTTAAAAGCTGCCGACCACTGAAGTCCACTTCAGTCCGATAGGTATTTACCTTAACAGATGACCAGGTGTCCGACAAGAAATGACAATAGCCACCATATGGTGTAATATTGGAGCATATCGCTTGCTCAGTGATGGCAGCCAGTGCAGTCAGCTACCCAACCTAGCTGTGTACAGGCCCGACATAATGCAGTATTCCCCATCACAGCCCACACTGTCACATCCGTACGTACGCCGTGGTTACTCCGTCAGTCTGCGACATCCACAACGACACACGACAACACACAGAGAAAGTGGCTGCTGGGCAGAATAATTATCTCACCACCAGAGTTCTGAGCAACAGTAGTGAAGTGATGGCAAGACTATCAATATCTTATTCTACTCACATCGTCACCAGATTCAGTGGCAAGTTAAAGGCTTAATGTCTGTAAGTAGATGATCCTGTTGTACAGACTCGGAGTGTTAGGACAATTGTAAATGATACTGTCGTACAGACGTCGAGTGTTGGGACAATTGTAAATGATACTGTTGTACAGACGTCGAATGTTGGGACAATTGTAAATGATACTGTCGTACAGACAACGAGTGTTAGGACAACTGTAAATGATACTGTTGTACAGACGTCGAGTGTTAGGACAATTGTAAATGATACTGTCGTACAGACGTCGAGTGTTGGGACAATTGTAAATGATACTGTCGTACATACAACGAGTGTTAGGACAACTGTAAATGATACTGTTGTACAGACTCCGAGTGTTAGGACAATTGTAAATGATACTGTCGTACAGACTTCGAGTGTTAGGACAATTGTAAATGATACTGTCGTACAACCGTCGAGTGCTAGGACAATTGTAAATGATACAGTTGCCGTCATCCTAAGTCACATAAGTCACAGATAATGAAGTTTGGACAATATAAGTAAAGGAAAAGTTTTCTTTCCTCAAAACACAGCACACTCTTTTATATTTAAGCAAGTAAGTGGCACTATTCTAACACTGGTCTTAATACCATTAAATAATACTATTTTCTCAGTCACATGACCACAGGAATATCATTAAAACCAAGAAATTTCTAGAAATGCTGAGAACAGAGTGGAAATCAACATTTTTATGGACGTACAAAACAGGAACTCGTAGCCAAGCTGATATATAAACAGATCTTTACAAAGAAATGTGCTGTAAAGCGCATCATTTTCACGTCCTTCACCTGATAAACATGGCTATGAATGGCTATGAATGGCTAGACATCTCTAAAAATATCTCTTGTCTTTGGGAACTGTTCTACCTTTACAGAGTTTTATATAATCATGTATAATTCTAAACCTGGTCCATGACCTTGGCTATGTCTGATGACCTTGACAGGCTATTCACCATTTAGACACCTTTTAGGCCTCAATTTCTACTGGAGCAAGGTCCAACCGTCCATAAAAACATGCATCAATTCACTAATGAACCTGTAACAACTCAGTTTTTTAACCGGACAACCACCTTGACATGTACATCCTTTAACAAAATTAAACATTTAAAACATTACTATGACAACAGAATTAGGAGACAGTATCTCCTGTACTCAGACATTGTCAGCAGTAAAAATTCCTTGCCTTGCAGATTTTGACGACCTCATTTTATTTCAATATCCTTGCTACACAGCCGTGATGAATACATGCTTACCCTGACGACATTATACGATATCTTCACCAAAACATTATAATCAAACGCAATAAGGTATTTTTATCATTAATACTAATTACCTGAAATTATGATTCAAGTCAAATTTTATGAAAATTTTCTCATTTTTTTTCTTTATTTTTCTTATACATATATATATGCATTTATTATTTCATGAATGCTGTCTTGGGATGCATTTAGTTTAAAACTTTGAAATTTTTCAGTTTGGGAATTTTTCTGTTCATTATCATCTTTTATTCATTACAGAAAAAAGTATAAAGTATATTGTCGAGTACTGAATAATTCATAGGAAATTCACCAGGAAATGTCAATTTTTTTAATCAAAACTGTGTATGATCTATAAGCTATCAAACGCTTAGCTTGTTGCCATGGTAATTTGTTGTCATTGGTGATATTCTAACCCATGTTTGTATTGATGTCAGACAATCGCTTAACATTCATTACAAGTAAAATTATCAAGTTTGCTTCACTAGTATTCCCCAAGCTAATTATCAAATTCCATATATGATATACAAGGCAAGTACTTAAATGGTCAATCTGTACGTGGTAAATGGTCAATTGTTACTCAAATGTTCTTATTCCATGTGGCGAAAGGTCAACCCCTAGGTGGTACAAAATATAGTCAAATGGTCAAGATTAGTAATGTGAATAAACCCAGTAGGGCCAAAAAGTTTTACTTGTGTTTCCATTATCATCCTCAGAAAAAATGTCTTTAACTCATTCACCCCTACATTTATAAAGTGGACTTGCCCAGTCTTTGATTTGGTAAGGTTCTAATGTAACTTCAGGGGTGAATGGGTTAAGACAAAGTACAAGACAGTCTATATATAACACGGGAAGATGGCTGGGGTTTGATTCCCCAACCATGAGGAGAAAACCATGCAAGTTTTTCTCCGGGAACTCTGGTTTCCTCCCAAATTAAGACACACACCCAAGCCAACAAGAGTGATTAATATCATTTAAAATAACTTATATCATAACTGTTGTAAAATGAATAAATTATATTACACAACATCATAATTGGACCAGTTGAATGCCAATGACAAGACATTACTATGATACCAACATGCATAGGCTACTTGCAGCAAATCAATGCCGAGATGTCAGACTTGTGATATTGATCCTGACCCAGGGAGACCTTGTTATACCACGATTGTCCTTTCTGACAGATGTTTCATTGGCTCAGGATATTGGGCATTAATAATTGGAATTATCAATATAATCACAGCTGTTTCGTAGGCATATAAGGATGTAAAGTTTCAAAAGAATTGCATTCTCGGAATATGATCCTAACATAGTGATCTTGTTTAAAGTGGATGAATTTAACTCATTCACCCCTGAAATTTCATAATGAACTATTCCAACCTTTGAATTGGAAGAGTTCAAATGTGTCTTCAGGGGTGGACGAGTAAATTGTTTCCAGCTTGATGTGGTAAAGCTGAATGCAAGACTACAACTTCTCAACTTTTAGTCATAAATCGGTGAACATCACTTTACACAATTGTAAATATCATCTTTAATGAAAAGTCTTAAAAATCTTAATAAGTTTCTCTTCAAGGTTGTGGGATGTTATCCATTGAGTGAGAAAAGAGCAGTAGATGCATGTTCATGCATTCCTATCACTCTGGTCGTCTACAAGGATATGTGACCGGTACAGAGCTGCCTAATGGTTAGTGGCCAGATCATGGTGGGAAATATCAGGCACGAGGACAGAACAAACACGAGGCCGCGGAGGAGGTGCTGTTCATGTTGACTTGGTGTGTAAGGACAATCTCCAGGAGATACAATTATAACACTCCACACCTTTTTTTTATGGCACAGCAAACAAATCTAAGAGGCATCCACAAATAAATGCTGGGACTGTATTTACTGAACTGATAACTGCAGATCATTTCATCATCCATTTGAACTATTCTTCCAATCTTGCGGTGTCACGACTATTGAATATCGTGATCAAGTACATATTTATCTTTTGTTGGATATTTTTTCCTACCGTAAATCATGCATTTTTTTTTTTTATTAATTGGAAGCATATATGATCAAGGAAGTTTGCTTGAGATTATTCGTGTTCTTCACTAAGGAATTTATAATATCGATCAATAACTGAAAACAAATATTCCTCATAAATAACTATACTGAAAAAGACGAAAAACTAGTTCTAACTGTATACCAATAATCAACACCTGATGGTAAAAGGGGATATGATCACTAGAACAGGAATTAATCGAGTGTGAGGGAAATTTGAAATGTGATCTATTTACCCAATCCAATCACATGAAACATTTTTATGCAGATCACTGACGTGTGACGTGTGACGTGTTTCAATAGAACTCTCTAAGACTCCCCAAAAAGAGATTTGACTCTTTGGATTTAAAGAACATGTCTATCCGTCATATGTTCCGACTCTCCAAAGCTCAGGGAAAATTCTATTTTACTGCTACAATAGCTAAGTTTTAAGGGTCAGCTAAAATCTGTTACTGTATAACACAAAATAGTCGTTGGTACTTTCCTTCGTGGTTTGAAACCATTTAGATCGTTTCGTGGTATAAACTTTCGTGGATATCCTATATAAACAAACGGTTGACATGTATATCATCCAAATTTGTTTGATTTTTTTTCGTGGTTCAATAGCAACCACGAAAATCACAAATGTTTATACATAACACACATTTCATGTTATACAGTACCATGAAAACAAATTACTCAGTCATCACTAAATACGGAATTACGTACCGGTGTTGTCAACGTCAACTCAGCTCCCCCACTGGTACCCCGGTCGGACGTCATGAGGGCAGCCGAGTTTTCTTCTAAATTTGCCGTCAGCTCCACCTGGAAAGCAGAAAAAATGATATTTTAAACAAAGGTCATGCCCATAACTTAACACTGAATTGTTTCCATCAAATTCTTCTTTCTTCAATATCACCACCTACTAAACAACTTCAATAATTTCTGGTTATACGTTATTTTCGTTGATGTAATATATGTACATGTGTACAAATGGATGTATATCAATATACATATTTATTACCCTTGTTTCTGGGAGACATTGATATTTGTTCCCCCAAGATCTGTCATGTACCCAAAGGACGAGGCTTTTAACAAGAATCCATGTCTCCCAGTAAACAAGGGCAATAAATAGTTTGTTATACCGAAATAGAACTATAGCATTATTAATACCTGTAGTAAAGAATGGTGGGAAATGTGGAAACTTGATTAAGGGAGAGAACATTTTTACATTTATCTCCCTTGTTCAGGGAAACATGATTTTTTTCCCGCCGTAGATTAATCATGTTTCATGAGTGGAAAACCTAAGTGAAATATGATTGATCGAAGGGAAATAGTAGACCATCATACGGATAAAGTTAAACAACATTAAACATCATCAGACCTACAGGTCTAATTCAGTTTCTCGGAACTCAGGTATGATACCTCTTACTTTTTCTTCACAAGGCCTCAAATACGGGAAGCATGACTAGGGAAACTTGAGCACGAGAGGAACAGAAAATGATATTTCCCTTTCATCTGATCAACTCAATCTAACGTCCTAGGGATGAGTTTCTCCAATACAAGTGATGGTTGGTGCTCATATTTCATTTTCACTTTCATTTTTTGTTTTCACAGAAATGTTTATCAAGTCATATTGCATATAGATTTGTATGAAAACAAAGATAATGTATGTATAATTACTAGTGACGGGAGTCGGTTCAACTTTCATAATCAACTATCAGCTGCACATAACTAATTGATAATCAATTATAATTGATTTTACTGATTTATTTTGAATACTTAAAATCTTTTTCTCCTGCCGAAAACATATAGTAAATTTTGTAAAAAGTATTTGGTAACTTTGAATCTGTATAACAAGTACTTGATGAATACTGAACACAAATGGTCATTAACTCATTCACCCTTAAGACTCATTTGAACTCTTCCAATTCCAAGGTTGGAATGATTCATTATGAAACTTTAGGGGTGAATGAGTTAAATGGTAATAAAATCTATTCTAGTCTGTGAACTGTAAACTACCTCCTGAAGTTTATATGAAGCATTTTTTTTGTCACCCAAGATACAAAATGCGATGCTGTGTTACTCCTGCACTCATCTACAAATCCTCCTTTCGCCAGATTTATTTTTTGATCAATTAATTTATTTCTATCATTGGTCCATCACTAGTATAACGAGATTCAAAAAAATTGTTTTTGAACTAAACAGTCATGAAACCAAGTTCTGTATACTGTTCCTATGGTGATTTTCATGACAGTTGATTATATTAACCAGCACAATAAACAACAGATTGGCGATCAATGCTGAGATATTCAATTAACATATGTTAGTGATCCTATTACATTGTACGTCACGTCACCCCCCTTGACCAACAACACTCTATCACCAGGGTTGTTATTGGTTATCATTACGTCAGCATTGAATTGGGATTAAATATCGTCTAGGTACGTCCACCTTAACTTGACCTTTAGGAAATGGTCAGTAATCCCGACTACTCTACAGTTAATCCTATATAGAGCACATGAACCAGTCACAATACAGTCAGCCACCAGCCTTCAACCCCTGGAGATCGTATGGATTCATTCTGATCAATAAAAGGATCAGTCAACTACAGATGCATGGGTTACACAAGATAGCTGCCTTGAGAAAATCAATAGTAATGAATTCCCCTTGGCTACTGTGTTGATTTCTCTCAATAGTCGGGTCTACTTCTGAACAACAACCAGCTGACATGTAAAGGGAAGTAACTCTTTACAAACTACACACAATTGTAAAACACTCTCCTGTTCTGAATCTCATTCTGGTCACAAAATTACAACTTGTTGATCTTTCCATAGCAAATCGTCAGATAAACATCATATTCAGGAATTAGGGCCAACATGTCAGAAAATGTTAAACTGTAGAGACTGAATTGTGGTATATCTCACATTTTCAGGGCTACATTAATTAACTAGAGGAATTCTTACCCGTGTTAGTTAAGTCAATACAAAACATACCTGCATTTCACATACCATTTTTGAAACAATTACATCCGACAAGCTAGATAGGCCAGTATTTGTGTTTTTGACATTCTATATTATTGGTTAGAGCATCATTTATTCAGACTGATATGAGGTTGGCATAAAAGTTGATAAAACGTTGCTGGCCATACGCATACATAGAGGTGCACGTAGGTGTACCAGTTTCTGGTACATGTATTTTGCTTGAAGCTGTAACTTTCTTAATCACAGACATGCAAAAAGTATGTGTTGGGTATATATAAAACTTAATCCTTTCATCACTGTAGACCATAATGGACTTATCCAGATCAATGCATGGTAGAGCTTATTAAAGTTACATAGGGGTGAAAGGGTTAATGTCCCTACAGCAGTAGTCAGCTCTATTTCTGTTATTTAACAAATGTCCGGGTTGGGTGGACGATTAATGGCATTCATTGTTTTAATTCTTTAAAATGTTCTACAACCACACAATATCAGTGATTTAATTACCTAATACTAATTACAGCCAAAAACTGAATGCTTGTCTTCGCTTTACTTTCCCAAAATAATGAAATCTGGTTGTTTTTTATCTTGGTAAAATACATCTACAATATCTTTTATAAATACAAGTTGGTCAGACTGTAGCTGCTGTAGACAGCAGATTTACAGGGTGTCTATAAAGTCTGCTGTCAATTGAATTTATACTATGACATCTAAAACGGTAGTACAGAGACAAAGACCTAAGTGCCGGTAGTATTATCAAAAGGTAATATTGAGGACACACATCTGATAGCCAGATGTTTTGTTCTCACGTTGCATTCCCTATTATCTAGTTTATTTTACACATCATATAAAACTCTATCTCGACAACAGGAGCTCAAGCTCAGAGCATGTCTCATTTTAGGTCTGGGCCCGTATTCATGAAACCGTTCTCATGCTTAAGCATGGATATTCTGCTGTAGCCTCATTTTTTGTTCCCGTTATAAATATATAAAAATATCTTATTTTGTCAATGATTTGGGGAAACAATTAAGAGACTTCTTGCCGAATATTGTTTTCAATGTTGACATTTGATTTGTTGATCGTTTGACATGATTTAAGCTAGTTACAAGAAAATTGGTTTGAGCACAGAATCCATGCTTGAGCATGAGAACAGTTTCATGAATACGGGCCCAGGTCTAACATACACTTGCACATTGATGTTCATAGAAACAGAATTGTAGAAGAAAGAGCTCTGGGCTATGGCTCTATGCCCTGTTAACTGTCTTTAATACACACATGTAAACTTTTAGGAGTGTTTTCTAGGTATCGTGTTCACTGATGGATAATGACATATTAGATGGAAATGTTGAATTATATCTTGTCCACAGAGCCTGCACAGGTGAACAGGCAATCCACACACCTACAATAACACGACCAGTTGAACCACACATCTAGGTCAAGTGCTACTGCATGTTATTCAAGGCCAGGTACAAATGTTACCATAATAAATATACCACTTCTACACCACAAGGGAGTACACAACCCTAGCTATACAACTTCTACAAGGCAAGGTAGTACACAACCCTAGGTATACAACTTCTACAAGGCCAGGTACAAATGTTACCATAATAAATATACCACTTCTACACCACAAGGGAGTACACAACCCTAGCTATACCGCTTCTACAAGGCAAGGTAGTACATGAACCTAGCCACAATACTATTACTTGTAAATTTCAAGCAATACACGAAGTCCAGGGCCTGTATTTTCAAGAAACCATTCTAATGTTCAAACTCAGATTCTACTTTCACTTCTGTGATGGCTGGCATGGATAGAATCCAATCACATATGATTTACTACTAAACAATTCGTCTTCATTAAATATCGAACATCATTTTATAAACATTAAATCTAACATTTCAGTTAACAGTAAATCCTGTTGTATAGTATAGATGCTTAAAATGTGCAAGTTATTCACCAAAATACTGACCTCAATGTAAACTAGCCCAGGCACAAACCCTAGCCATACCTTCCTATTAAGTTCCTACTAGTAACTGTAGGCAGCCATAGTTACTATTTGTGTACACAGGTGTACACATGTGTGCAATACAACACCTGTGTACTGTGTGTACATATACACAGGTCGGCCATGTGCTGATGCAACTACAGCCATGCTTCACTCTAGTTCTATTTATAGCTTTCTCCCTCTGGCCCAGATATTTTTAGCACCAGCCTATTGTTGTTTGCTCAAGGAGGCAATACACAAGGGGGACAAAAGGGGGACTCAAAGAGGGTAAATAAAGGGAAAATCATAGGTGGGAACTTAACGTACAAATGAGGGCCACACAAAGCAAAATGTATACAGGGAACACCGATTTGGGAGAATGAAAAGGGCACCTGTTATCAATGTTACCATCGCACTATGGGGACTCCATCCAGCTCCCTAGTGGTTAAATAGATTAAAGGAGACAGTGAAAGGGGACCAATATCAAAGGGGCACAAAAAGGGGGATATGAGGGGGAATCAATCTTGGGGATGGGTGTGGTTAGTGCAACCAAAATGATGTTTATTAACATTTAACCATGTCATTCCTCATATAATAATAATAATTTGAGGTTCTTATATACCGCTTTTTCACAACACAGTTCGTAGGTCGTCTCAAAGCGGTTCACTATAAAAATATGACATTCATTAACTGGTGACAGTGAATATTGTTAACCCCGAGAAAACCATTGTCACCCGAGGCTTTGAATGGGTTTTTGAGGGTTGACAATATACAATGTCACCTGCTAATGAATGTCATATCTCAATGTAACACCAAAAGTCTTTGTAGCTCAGACGCGGCAGCAAACCTCGATAATGAC